AGAGAGAGAGAGAGGTCGAGCTTCCGACCCTGCCTGTCAGGGCCAACTGGGCTGAAAGGGATACATGACTACATCCTAGCAGAAAGACCGAGATACTCAATTAAAAAAACATGATAATAAACTCGGAAGCCCTATAATAGGTATGTCGCAATCTTTATAAACACCCGAGGTCAAAGAAAAATATTTCAGGACAGCTGCAAGAGCAACATCAGAAGTTAATCCACTGAACCCAGAAAGGAAGAAACTACGTGAAAAAGAAAAATGAAATCAAATAAGAATAGGTCATTTAAATGTCTGGACCTCCAAATTTAAAGTCCGTTTCAGATGAAACCGAAGACTTAAAAACTCCACAAAACGACCCTAGTCAAGGAACGTACAGAAAAACAAAAAAGGAGAGGAAGACAAACTAGTTTCATTCTTTAGGGTGCTGTTGCTATGTCTTCCTCGGGGTAGGATAAACCCATCTATCCGCTGGACACACAGCAGTGGCACCCATCTGGCCTACATCTAATTCCTGGCACGGAGTCGGAGACAATGAAAACATAGAGACATCGTGACATATTATGCTTGTCTAGTCTTACTGCTTTTGGCTGTTCTGTGGGGACTTGACTTGGAGTAGACGAAAGCCTATGCCTACATGTATTTAAGTACAAGATGGAAGATACGACATGGCCTACAGACTTTAAAAAAAAATTAAAAAAGAAGGAAAGAAGAAAAAGAAAAAAAGGAGTAGTAATACAATATGTATTTGTAATTATTGTCGAAGTTTTACGCCCGAGTCGACAACAGTTAGATCATAATATAGGAGGCGGACTGCTTCGTCTTTGTCTGTCAGGGCCCAGGGCCAATCCAGGATGAGAGAGATCGTTATCGTCTCAGCAGAAAGACGGAGATAGTAAAACATGTACATGTATAGCCAACTCGATAAACACTTTTCCAATACGGGAAGCATTCAAACTCACGTCTCCTGCGCACAACCCACCTTACCTCTAAACCATAGACGTCAGTAAAGGAGTTGTAGAATTCTTGCACGAAAACGTATATTTTTACAACGGCGCATTGTTTTTTACCCTAATATTTATTACACTGTTACATAAAAAAGACCACGATCCTGGATAACGCTTATCGATTTTTTGTTAGTATAGCATACTGGCACTTGCATGTATTTTCCAGAAGAAAAAAACCCCCGTTACATGCACCAAAAAAACAACAACCCCGTTACATGCACCAAGACTTCTCTGGTGGAGATCTTTCTACCTGG